AATGTAAGTAAGTCTTTAGTGCCCTAACTCTTTTTCTGCCCCTTCTGAACTCTTTTCCTTGTTGGTATGCCGTGGAGTTAATCGTGACCCACAGTGACCCAGTATAGGGTTTCCAAGGGGCAGCTAGTGAGCTCGAATCACATTCCTTACAGTTCGAAAGGCTTTGCTGTCTGACGCATTAGCCCACAGAATCACAGCAGGACTGCTTTGTTATTGGCGTCTCAGCTTAGGCTGGCCTGCGCCTTGATGGGCGGGCCTGAGGCTTGGAGGCTGGGCAGAGGGCTGGCCAAGGCCGAAAAAAGCTGAGGGCGGGGGCAGGCAGATGGCGCGGCTGTGTCTGATGACGTCTACAATGCCTATCTCTGTCTCCCTGTGCCATGAGCACCCCAATTTGCCCTATATCCACGCCAACAATGCCCAACGTGGCAATGAGGCACCCCCCCTGGGATGGATCACGCTAGTTCCTGTGGCCCCGCTAGCTCTCCGGGAGCATCCACCCTATGAATGACTACGCTCAAACCCTGAGCTCCATGCTCTGCAATGGGCGGGGCAGTCCCCAGGTTGGGAACTAAGCGCAGGCAGGTAGAGGCTCGAAATGCTTGTAACTCCTCAGCAGTTTGATTTTTAAAAAAAGCAAGCTCATAATGCTAAGACCTAGTGTTTTATGTTTGCCCCAAGGCTGTCTGTCTACCAGGCCGGGGCCTCCCTGTGCGATACCACCCCTATATTCTCTGGAGCCCGCGTACCTGTGCTGCCCGGTCAGGGAAGCGCTGGAAGTCCTCTCTCCTCATTCATTTAAAAAAAAATATTCACTGGGCAAAGAGTTCAAACCATGTATTACAGCGGATTCCTAGGTTTAGAATGTCAGAAATGAGAGCACTGAATTTTGAGGTCTTATCCTCAGGTCTTAGGGTTCTGGACTTATCCCAGAGGTTGGATCAGAGTGGTCTGTCACCACACATATAGAAATCCAGGTACCATGAGTACTTTCCCTCAACTACCCATGGCCTAGACCAGAACAGAACAGCTTGGCCCTTCTAGAAACACACCCACTCCTAATGTACTGATGGCTCAGTTGATGCATAAAAATTATTAAAATAAGCATGCTGGCCCAGGAACTGAGGATGCTGGATTCCCAAAGAGGTCAACCTTGAAGAAGAACTGGATTCGCCTGGAGCTGGAGACTTTTCCCATGTTCTAGAGATAAAACTTACAACTGCAGTAGGAATTTCGTTGAATAAAACTTCAAACTGTAGTTAAGTGAGCTTTCTTTGTTCCTCTCTTAGATCATAATAACCCTGTCTTTGGGAATGGAATGTGTAGACAGAACAGTAGGTATCAGATTGCACTGTATCAGACATTGAATCTGTTGGATTCCTTGTTATTGTTACCTGCCATCTCATCAGTTCTGACTTATAGTGACTCTGTATCGGGTTTAAGGAGCCACTATTAGGTTTGAACGACAAACCTTGTGGTTAGCTTACCCTTCATTACCACACCAGGACATCCTAACAAACTCTTTCTTTCCCCCCTATCTCAGAATGTGCTTAAGGATCCCTTATGGAGCTGTGAACACTGCCCTGCTGACTGCTAGGTCGGCAGTTCAAACACATTGGTCATGCTTTGGGAGAAAGATGAGACTATTACTGTAAAGATTTAGTCTTGGAATGGTTGGATGGCCCTGAGTTTGTTTGTTTGTTTTGGAATGTGCTTACTGGCCCAAACTCGGGGGCGGAGCACAAACCTGGTATAGGGTCAAACACTTTGTGGAGTCTGCCTTTAGTGCAGCAGAGAGAGCACACTGAAGAGCTCAGGTCTGCAGTATAGGACCATGTCCTCCATCCTCCTGGGACTCAGAGCATGTGATGCAGATAGGAGATCGGGGTTTGTGTCTCCTTCCCCATCTGCTTGTGTCACTGTGAGTATTATCACTGCTGTCCCAGGACTGACAGTAATAGTTGGCCTCATCCTCAGCCTGGGTGTTGCTGATGGTCAGAGTGGCTGTTGTTCCTGAACTGGAGCCAGAGAATCGGTCAGGAATCCCTGAGGGCCGTTCACTGTCTTTATAGATGACATGCACAGGGGCCTGGCCTGGCTTCTGCAGGAACCAGGAAGCATATTTCTTTGGGAGAAGTTCTCCAGAGCAGCTGATGGTGGCCGTCTGTCCCAGGATCACTGACACTGAGGATGCTTGAATCAGCTCATAGGAGACCACAGAGCCTGCAAGAGAGGAGAGAGAGGAGGGTGTGAGACTGAGGGGTCCTTCCCAGGAGGTCCCCCTGATGCCATGACTGGGCTGAGCTCAGGGTGTGAAGCAGGACTGGGGGCCTGAACCTGAGGTTATGGGAAGCTGGGAGTACCTGTGCAGAGAGTGAGAAGGGGAAGCAGAAGAGTCCAGGTCATGGTGGAGACACTGAGCTCAGTCTCCTGAGTTCACAACTGGGCGGGTGCCCGGACCCTCTTATTCCTTTTCAGAACCCTTGGAGCCTGGGTTGTTTGACCTTTATGCAAATTTACTACCCCTCTGGGGACTCTGATAAACCAGGCCTGGTAGCATAGTTGTTATGAGTTGGGCTGCTTTTCTCATAGTCAATAGTTCTAAACTACCAGTAGTTCCATGTGAGTAAGATGAGGCTTTCTGCTCCCATAAAGATTTATTTACAGCTTCAGAAACCTTAAATAGGGTTGCCATGATAGGAACTGACTCTATGGCACATGGCCATCACCAAGGGGCAAGCCAAGGCAGGAAGGGGTGGAGCTTCCCACAGTTTTCGTTGAGCTGTTGCAGGTTGGAAAATCCGGTCTGGCACTAAGGTTGGGGTCACAGTCACTTTGTGAGGGTGTGGCCACATGAGGAGGAGTCCTACTGGCTCCGTGGGTTATAATTTGCACACTGTCAGAATCGACTCTGTGTGTTTGTTTTATTTTGGTTTCGACCAAGTGAGCACTCTGCTCACCTCTTCTGGCTGTACCTTGTTTTTGTTCTTGTTAAGTGTTGTACAGTCTTGTTTGACTCATAGTGACTCTGTATAGGCTTTGGAGGAGCGACTGATGAGCTTGAGCCACTCACCTTGCAGTTCAAACTGACTTTGCAGTCCAGTGTAAAATCCATTGATTGATCTCTGCCCAGAACTGGACACTAGCAAATAGATCACTAGTAACCCCTACAGGTACAGTGACTGTCCCTGAACTGAGCCTAGTGATCAGGGCTGTGACAGTGATATTGGGAGGCTCACGTCACTTGTTGAGAAGACTCAATGGAGATTCTCATCTCCATGATCCACCTTACATAGGAGTGAAGTTCCTTGTACACAAATAAGTGTGGGCTGACTTCCATATCTGTGGTGACCAATTATACATACTTACAAATCTAGTTAATATTCTTATTCCTTGTGTCCTATTTAGTGCGAGTATACCTGTGAAAGTAAAAATAAGAGTTTCGGGTAAATGAAATGTAATCTTTTCCTTTACCATCAACAAGTCACAAGAATAAATCTTCATAGAATCTACTTGTACTTTCTGAAACCTGTATGTAGTCAGGAACAACTATTTACATAGGACAATGAAATGACAGATTAGTAAATAAGTACAACAATTCTCGTCAGATTAGCAAGTAAACACAAGTAAGCCCTGTGCTTACCTTGCTTTCTGGGAACCGTGTTGCTGTCAGAAACTGTAAATTTGAAAAGAAGCTTTGGTTCACTAGGATGGTGCTGTGGAGCTGTGAGAAAGACAGGTACCAGCCAGACCTGGATGCAGAATTTGGATGTAGTGAAAAGGATGTGACATTGTTCACTCCAGATGATCTAATGAGCAAGGAAATACTGTGCTTACATTACCTATTAGATAATCTCCCCTTGGACACCAACCAGAGACTACATCATCATGAAATGCAGTCATGTTAGGGGAGGTAGGAGGAAAGACAAAAGGGAGGGGAGGTCAGGGTTTTTGAAAAAGTCTAGGTCAGAGGTAAGATGCCCTTGGACCTCAGCTGGACAGTGAGGGCATTATGTCCTAAGAATACAAAGGAGACTCAGCAACTTTTATTCATCAGGGAATGAAATAACAGATCCTGGGAGCCCTAACTCTCCCTGTGCTGCCCCCTGGAGCTCAGGGGTGTCTCCTGAGTGCACCCCAGCCCTGCAGGAGTTGTATACCTGGACCAGGTTCTCCCACCTCATTTACAGGTAAAGACTCATTGTGTTTGTGCTCCCAATCAGGGTCCTGAAGCTGCTGCTCATAGGTAAGGGTATCCTGGGTCCAGGTAAGGGTGAGGGCATAGGTAAGGGTGTCCTGGGTCCAGTGGCTACATTGATCACTTTCTGTCTGCTATTCAAGCTACCTGGGCTTTCCCTAACTGCCTGGGCTTCACTTAGGTAGCTCTTGTCACTCTTGGATGCACCTGCCTGCAGTTCTGGTACCATAGCAGTTACGAGTTGGGCTGCTAACATCAAGGTCAATAGTTCAGAACTACCAGATCCTCCTGGTGATAGAAAGATTATACTTTCTCAAGGTCACCTGTTCAAGCTCAACAACATGGTCATTATGGGTCAGAAATGACTCTACCATCTTTAACAACAACTACAACATGTTACTCCAGGCTCATCTGTGTAGTGATGTATTTTGCAAATTTACCACCAGTGTTCAATGTTTCATAGTATTACATGTGTGTATGTACCAAAGTCTGTTTACTCACCCTTTCATTGATGGACATTTATTAGGGTTCATTCAGTGTCTTGTATGCTTACCTTCTCATTTTTTAAGATGTTAGGGAAGTTTCTTCCAATAATTCTTTGAAAGTTTGCTCTGTGCTTTTTATTGTCTCTCCCTGTCTCGAGTTCAAATCACCCATAAGGTCTTCTTGTTTATGGTGTCCTACATAACTCTTAGACTTTTTCAGATTCTTTCATTATTTTTTTATTGTTTCTTGCATATTAATACTGAGCGATTTTATTCGTGCTCAGTAATTTGGGCTTCCATTGCTTTGAATCTACTCTTTTTCTATTTAATGTATTGTCCATTTCTGAACTCTTAGTATTAAGCTTCTGCTTGTCTAAACACAGGAGAGCTGGGGGCAGGTTGACTGGTTAAATTGTTTCAAAATTTGCATTTACATTGCATTTATTGTTGTGTTTTCCTGAATTCTTATAAATTTTTCTTTTGTATTCTCCTTGTTTTCCTCGATTTTTCTGTCAATCTTTTGAAGGTACTTAAATGTTGTTCTTTTGAATTCTTTTGCAGTTTGTTCCATTACTTTCTATTCCTTAGAAATTTTTTCTGACTCTGCATCTTAGTCTTTTGTTTGAGCCCAATTTGGTCGTGTTTCTTCATGTGAGCATGTTGTCTCTGGAGCACGATAGGTTTGTCATATTTGTATTTAATTGATGAGTGTGTGTTGATTTTTGATCAATTCTCAACTATTGTCATCTCCTATGGGTGTAGTTACAGAATGGGAGAGTGTACACGGTTCTTGTTCACCATTGGTGTACCTCAGTTTAGGGTGGATTTCACTGGTGTTGACTGCTGTAGGAGTCTGTTATTGGCTCTTTCCCAGCAGATAGATCTACATATAGTATGGTCATGGCTGGGTTGTATGGGCATGGTTGCTGTCTCCTGTTGGGTGTGAAAGAGCAAACCCCTCCCCCATCACAAGAAAGAAAACAAACAGAATAAAAAATGTAGGAACTAAAAATGAAAAGACAAAATTAATACAGAGAAAAAAGAAATAAAAGTAGGCAGTACCCATAAAAAAAGAAAATAATAAGCCTAAAGACAAATGTGGGGCAGAGAAATGGAACTAGAGAAGAGAAAAATAAGAGACAAAGTAAAAGGGAGAAAAAGCCTACTTAACAATAGCTAGAAAGGTAAAAGAGGGACAGGACAATGGAGCTATAGAAGAGAAAAATGAGATAGGAAACTAAAAGAAGACATTAAAAATGCTTATAAAACTAGTTAGGGGAATATGGAAAGAGAAAGAGAAATATCGAAAAATCAAGGCAGGGAAGGGCTGAAGAGAGGAAATGAGAAGCAGAAGAAAAGAAGTAAAAACAAAAGCAGGGATCAAAAGGATAAAAGGGATCACCAAATCTTTGTTCCTGAGGCATCTCTGGGTGGATTGAAACCTTTCAGTTAGCAGTCTAGTGCTCATGGATTGAATCTTGGCTGGAGACACTCTTCCAGATGGAAGGTGAGTGAAAGACAGTGGACAATCCAGACTTTCTTCCTTGCTACGCTTCTTCTACGGTCCCCTCTCTGTGGCTCAATCAGAGCTATTGAAGTATGCTTTGGTGAGCAGTTATGGAAAATGTGAGCCATGTCATTTGGAGAGAATTGCAGCTGGGCCAGGTTCTACAGAAACAGCGACAAGGTTCCACAACACCCTCTGCTGCTCACACAGCCATACATCTCTTGAGCTATGAAAGGTTTCAGGAAGATAACCCAGCTGAGACCTTCTAAAACAAGCCTAATTCCTTTGTCCAATGAAAACGGTTCCATTTCTAGTCCAGATTGTCCTTTCTGGGTCTACCTGAGATTAGAAGTTTCAGTTTTGTTATTATATACCATTTTGTGTTGCTGGATCCATTTGGAAGAGAAAAGAATGCGTGTGGTCCTTTGCCCCAAATTTCAGCAGCATAGTATGTGAGATAAAATACATTAGACCAAGTTTGACCATCCTCATTTTTAATTAGTATGCTGACTGTACTTTTCCAACAAAGATTTGTTTGTTCTTCTTGCAGTTCATGGTATATTTAGTATTCTCTTTCAACACCATAATTCTAGGGCATCAATTTTTCAGTCTCAGTTACCATTGTGTTTTTTCACCTTTTTCTCAGGGACAGTTCTGAGCCTGTACTGATCAGATGAGACACCCTTCTTTGGAATACCATGAGACTTGTCGTAAGTGAACTCAAGGCACTGGAGAAACTGGGACCTTTTGTTCGGCGTTCCTTCCCTTTCTAACTTTTAGAAATCACAATAATCTTTTGGCTGGCTCTGACTTTCCTGTTGTTCACTTATGAAGACCTTCCGATTTTATTGGACCACTTGAATTCAAGGTAACATATTGTCTTGTTCCTGTTCTTAGGAGGTACACATATGTGAGGTCCTTTATTCTGCCCATCCCATTCACTGAAGGTTAAATTGTGTCTGTGGTCAACGAATAAGGAAGACTATAGAATAATTGATGCATGTGAACTATGGTGTTAGAGAAGAATTCTGAAACTATCATGAATTGCCAGAAAAACTAACCAATCTGTGTTGAAAGAAGTACAGCCAGAATGCTCCTTGGAAGTCAGGATGATGAGACTTTGTCCCTCACACTTTGGACATATTTTCAAGAGGGACCAGTCCCTGAAGAAGGACAACATGCTAGGTTAAGAGATGGTTTGATCCTGTGGCGGCAGCAGTCTGTTCCTCTGCCTGCTGTTGGTCGGCCATATCTGCTTTTGAATTAGGAGTCTCTATTTACACAGCTTGAGGAATTCAGAGAAAACATCCCTAGGGTCGAGATAGGAGGCAGATCAGACTGAACAAGTCCAAGTTTAATATAAGTGCTCTCTTGACTCCCTGAGAAAGTCACCATTTAAGTATTAAAGTGATTGTATACCAACTAGAGTCTTACTGTGGACAGACCATCTATTATTCATATGTAATTTCAGGCTAAAGTTGACGTAAATGAAAACAAGTCCACAGAGCCCCAAAATGAGCTTAAATGTATGCCACCTGAATTTAGAGACCATCTCAAGTAGAGATCTGATGCATTAGAAACTAATGACCAAAGACCAGAAGAACTGTAAAGTCCAAAATGATTGTCATAAGAGTTTCTGAAATTTGCTTCCCAGCGGTGAGTTGTTAAGGAAAAAAGGAAGAATTGAGTAAGTGAAAGAGATGAACAGAAATTTCAAAGGGCAGCTCAAGAAGACAAAGTGAAGTATTATAATGAAATGTACAAAGACATTCAGCTAGAAAACCAAAAGGGAAGAACACACTCAGCATTTTTTGAGGCTGAAAGAACTGAAGAAAAATTCAAACCTCAACTTGCAATATTGAAAGATTTTATGGGTAACATACTGAATGACGCAGAAAGCATCCAATAAAAGATGGAAGGTATACACAGAGGCATTGTTTCAAACGAAGTGATTGATGCCCAATCATTACAAGAGGTAGCATATGATCAAAAACCAGTGGTGCTGAGGAATAAAGTCCAACCTGCACTGAAGGTATTAATGAACTAAGGCTCCAGGAATTGGAAGAATACAAATGAAACTCTTTCAACAAATTCATGTTTATCCTCTATGCCAAGAAATTTCTAACATAGCTGTCTTCCAAGATTTCCCTTAGGCTCCGTGTCTCAGGAAGAACAAGAACAATAAAGTACCAAATGCAGGGGTTGCAGTGCATGAGGGCTTTCAGTGGGCCCATTATACCTGCTCAGGGGGAATTTCATGGGATTTCTCAGAAATTATGCACACTGAGAATCACTCAGTGAACATATACTCAGAACCAACTGTATATGTCCCATGCACTGGTCAATGATCTGGGGTTATAGTAGAAACCCTTGTGCCTGAGACAAACTCTTTACTTTCTAGTAAAGTCTTTACTTTACTTTCCTAGTAACTCTTTCCAAGTGATCCCTAGGCTCCCTGTTTTATTGTGTCGTTAGGAATGTTTGAATCATTTCAGATGCATTTGTTTGCTTGATGAATTGATAGCAACTTCTGGTAGACTGATCATGTAATCTAGTCCCATTTCACATGTGGAGTATTTGCATCTTTTCGATATCACCTATGATCATTGGATTATCATTTGGCATTGACCAAATTTTCATTCTCCTTTTTAA